GCATCGGGGATGAGCGATGAGGAAGGGGTTTTCCCGCAACTAGATTGGTTTTTCTTAGTCAACTAGCGATGGTCTCCAATTTAAGAGCGATGATAGCGATGGCCTCCAACCTACTAGCCATGGCCTCCAACCTACTAGCGATGGCCTCCGACCTACTAGCAATGGCCTCCAACCTGATAGCGATGGCCTCCGACCTACCAGCCATGGCCTCCAACCTAATAGCGATGGCCTCCAACCTACGTACTAGCGATGGCCTCCAACCTATGTAGCGATGGCCTCCACCTACTAGTGATGGCCTCCATCCTACTAGCCATGCCTAGGTACTAGCGATGGCCTCCATCTACTAGCGGTGGCCTCCAACCTACTAGTGATGGCCTCCAACCTACTAGTGATGGCCTCCAACCTACGTACTAGCGACGGCATGCGACGGCTTCAAACCTACATACTGGCAATGGCCTGCAACCTACGAGCGATGTCCTCCACCTACTAGCGATGGCGTCCGTTTTGGAGGTTCTTTCCAGACACGCCCATGTTGGTGTTTTCAAACCTGAGTTGATCACTGAATCGGTGCGATCAAACCTGATCTCACAGATCGAAGCAACACAAAACGTGCTGGTCTTCAGATTCTCCTGGTTCAGGACCCTCACCAAAACCAGCAACAAGGTCATGAAAGTGGACAACTCAGACCATACTTGAATTCCTCTACAAATCAGGTGAACTGTCCGTCTTTGTCTGAAAGAGAGTGTCGTTTCCGTATGTTTCCGTATGTTCCTCAGAGACCTTGGGACTCCCCCTTCTTTCGCTTCAGTCCCAGCCAGCTATCTCACCAGAGTGGGGCTGCTGCGGCTTCTTGTGAATAAAGTGGTGTGGAAGCCTTTGCAACTCTCTTGACCCTCCTGCAAGTGATTCTCGAGACTGAAGCCAGGGTTCCGGTTCCAAATCGTTGCTACGCTTAGGAGACCGATCACTACAAAGACGCCAAGAAGAAGAAGATTTCCTTTCATTGGTCATGGCCCAAGGACCATCCACGTCCGACCCCTCGGGACCGATCCGTGACCTTCTGCGCAGATGGAAAGGAATGGGAAGGGGCCCGGACCTTCCTCCGGGAGGATTGGCTTGGGCACCAGATGCGGAAGTGCGCAGAACACCTAGAGACCTTGGAGTAATTGCAAGATCGTCGAACAGTTCAATTGAATGAGTGCAGGGTGTCAGCATGGGTGCAGGTGTCATCTTGGAGACGCCTGTCGTTTTCAAGCAGGGTGGTACACTCAAGACCCATGGATTCTGGGATTTGTCCATTGCGCTCGCACAACGGGCCAAGCTAAATCTCAAGACCCAATTGACCCCGACGAAGCACCACCACCACGACGACGACGAATACCACACCAGTACCACACTTCCATCAGACAAAGTCAACCGGGTCAACTGGATCAACTGGGTTCAACTGGGTTCAACGGGGACAGCACATTTACTGGCCCCCCTACGTTGTTGCTTTTTCCTTCACTTCTCATCTCCTTTCTGACTGAGTCCGTGTTGCATTTTCGCCCACCCGTCAGTGTCGAGCCCAAACGGTGAGGAGCCTCGATTGGCTGAACTGCGAGAACTTGCCGCCAGTTGCGTTGCGGAATTCAGTGCCCTGGATCGGGAGATGGATGAAACACACTTTTCAGAAAAATTCAGAGGATTCATTCCATTTTTGTGCAAAAGAGGAAAGAAGAGCTCAGACTAATAGAATGGGCACTCTTTGGTAACGTTTGCCCATGTTTCAGGGCTCAGTTGTCTCATGTCATCTCTTTTGTTCGAGTTGAAGGTGGACATGGAGCTGCGGCTCTTTGCTTCGTTTGAAGCAGATCCTATAGATTCTACCACAGAAGCTTCAAACAACCCGACTGGGGAACAAAACTGAGCTAGGGATTGGTGAGGCAGGGCGCATTTGGGTAGATGAGACAGGGTCCCCAAAAAGCTCGGTTGAGATTCGATGATTCTCGGAGACTCCAAGACAAGAGGTCGTTATCCTGGTCCTTCTTCTTCTTTCTTCTTCTTCTTCTTCTTCTTGATGTCCGATCAATACCCCGGTTTTTTGGCCGTGTTTGGAAGTGGAACTCTGGGACCACCCTCAAAGTAGAGAATCTCGAGATATCTCGAGTTCCTTCGAAGAGGCAAGCATGTCCGTTGCCAAATGGACAGATAGTGGCTGAAGATTCCCAAAGATAGCGGGATTTACCCCCTTCGTATTTTTGTCCAATACTTCTTCCGATGATCCCTCCAATTCACTAGCGTCAGCCCATGTCTTCGGGCTCCTCCGCTGCGCTCCTCGCTGCTTCGGCGCCTCAGGCGAGGATAGACCCGAGATGGCCATGATCCAAAGACCTTTAAAGGATTTGGCCGATCTAGTCCTTTCTCTGCCTGGGATTGCTTAGCCAATTGCGATGAAGCGAGCTGCGAAGTGGTCAAGACATATTTCCCCAGTTGTAGAAACCCATTGGGCATTGACCCTGTGGCATGAAGGTCGTGGACCGTGGACACCAAATCGACCCAGCCCTGCGACCCATTTGTGCAGATTTTTAGAGTTGGATTTAGAGAGACCAATAAGTCACCACTCCCCCACTTGGTGCGAGCCCTTTCTTTGTCAACCAAAATGTTTGGACAGAGCAATTGACAGGAGACGGACCTCGGAATCCGGGGATGATCAGATACATTTGTCCTGAAACTCTTTGGACAATTTGGTTCTCAAGTCCAACGATGCGTCAACTTAAACTTATTAGGAGCACGCGCAAGAGCCGCGGCTGAGTCTTTGAAACGCGTCGCGTTGACGTTTCCCCTCTGCGTTTCCGGCGGAGTTGATAGATCTCAGTCCCATGGAATTGTTTTCGTCTTCGTTTAGAGACTAAGAAGGCCACTGTGGATTGCCTGCTTAAATATTGCTCACGGCTCTCCAAAGCAACCCCAAAAAGCGTTTGGAACATGGAGGGTTCCTGTTTTCAGGGTCATGATGCAGGCTGTGCGTGTCTTTTTTTGTTGCAGTTCTGCGTTGTGCTAGCCTGGGACAGTTTCACTGCTAGATCTTTCGAGCATTCATAGATTTTTCAGCGAAGTATGTCTACAGGCCTGACAAAAAAGTGCCAATCCTTGAAAGAATACCGTCTAGAAATGAGCGACTTTTTGATCACAAACAGTTATCTCAGAGTGCGCCCTTCTACAGACCTGGACCCTCGAAGTCGACCGACAGACCTTATACATACCCCTTCTTTATCACCAGGCGCACCATGGCCATGTGGTCCGAGGACATCCTTACGGTCCGAGCATCCGATCGGTGTGCACCAAATGGTGTCAGACGTCGAAGGTCTCCGTTCGGTTCTGGAAACGATCAAACAGTGTGGACACGAGCCTCTTGGAAAAGAACCATTGGCAGCGATCGTGTTTTGGGTATCTCAAAGACACAAAGCCCTTCTAACAGACAACGTCCAAGTGATATTCCTTCCTTGAACAGAAGCCAATGAAAGAGTGACACCGCGCCAGAACGAACACCGCGCCACTCGCCCCAGTGCTTCTTTGGTCCAAAGAACACCACCTTCTCCCAGATCACCTCGCCCCCTCGCCCCCTCGCCCCCTCGCCGCGCTTCTTTCGAAGGTCGAAGCTCCCCACGTCCGTCGCACGAGGAACTTCGCCCCAACTCGACCGCCGAGCCCCGAGGACCGGAGCGTCGGACCGTCGGACGCGGTTTGCGCCGTCTGCGCGGACGTCGCGGTCGGCGTTTGGGGGTCGGTTTGGACGTCAGGCCGGGCTGATCAGTGTGGACGTCAGGCGTGGGTCGCTGGCAGTTGAAGTTGCTTTTGATCACGGAACTTGAAAGGAGCAACTCCTTTCTTCTTTGATCCCGGATCCCGGATCCTGAATTGGCATCAAACGGTCAGCGGTCAGCGTCTTGAGTCTTGTTTGGTTATATACTCTCCTTCTACTAGGGATGGATTTAGTAACAGCACTAGGCAATTGGCCGTGAATAGGTGGATTGTTGTTCGTGATCGGAGGCGCCACTGAGCGTTTGGCTTCAGCTTTGTGTAGCCGTGGAGTTCGCCCCTACCCAGGGGCTGGGCCCCCCGCCAGTCGGCTGATTGGCGGAGCGTTTTAATGGCTGCAACGCTGCGTTTGGCAGTGGTGCTTCTACGCCCGATTGTGGGTTGGGGCTCAGGTCTTTGCCTCGCTGACGGCGTGCCAGAAAGCCAGCGAGAGTACATCCAGGAAGGGAGGGTTGCATCAAAATCCACATAGTTATTTTTTATTCCCCAAACAGTTTACTGTTGGCGTTCTATCTTAGCTGGCCACACTCACTGGCCACGCCCCTGACTCTGTGGCCGGGCTCTGTGTCCGGGTCTTGTCCTCCTCTTGTCCTTGTCTTGGCCGCGCCCCTGAAGTCTGTGGCCGGGCTCTGTGGCCGGGCTTTGTGTCTGGGTCTTGTCCTCCTCTTGTCCTTGTCTTGGCCGCGCCCCTGACTTACTGTTCCCCAAACAGTTTACTGTTGGGGTTCTATCTTAGAAAGCAAGAGCTGGCCACACTGACTGGCCGCGCCCCTGAACTCTTTGGCCGGGCTTTGTGGCCGCGCTCTGTGGCTGGGTCTTGTCCTCGTGCTGTCCTTCTCTTGTCCTGCTGTTGCCCTTCTCTTGTCCTCTGGCCACACTGACCAGCCCTGGACACACTGACTGCCCGCAGCCCTGAACTCTGTGGCCGAACTCTGTGACCGGGTCTTGTCCTCTTGTCCTGCTCTTCTCTTGTCTTCTCTTGTGGCTGAACAATTAGCGATGTCGATGCTTAGCTCTTGGGGGAGAAGGTCGGATGTACCAAGAACTCGTTTTGGAATATATAATATTGGTCCTAACGAATCGTTTTGAAGCTGTTTGGGGTCTATGCTTGTATAGTACCTAACTGCACTTATTATACCTTTTGCGCATGGTCCATGATCGACCAGACTTACTAACCCATGAACATTCACCCCTGCCTTCAGGATGATGCCGGCAACAACATTCCAATCGGACTGTTTGAAATGGCATGGGAATCAAACTCCCTTCTCATCCACATGGCAGCACTTATGATTCGTGAGGGTCTTGGCTTTCACGCTCAGGTGAATCCTACAGTGGGTGGGAATGGAGGTTCTCAAGTCTTTGCTTTGGCAGGATGTACCGACTTCAATGACAAAGCCAACATGGAATGTGGCACCCAAGAAACAACGATCCATGTGAGCGTGGACTCTTGGATTGGAAGCTATGCTTCCACTCAGAATCAGTTCGCCAAAGAGTATCCAAGACTTGCGGCGGAGGATTTAGGGAGCATGGGGTATGCAGGAGAAGAATCCATGTACGTAAGCCGAGCGATTCTCCAAGCTGCCTACAGTGAATCCGGTCTTGCTCTGGACTTCTACAAGAGTTACTTCGCTTGTCTCAGTGTATTTTTCTTATTCAAAGCCTCCAGGTTTTCTCTTAAAGGGGCCACGGGCTTTCACTTTTCGCAGCGAAGAGTAGGAGGGTTGATGGCTCAATAGGCCAAGTCAGAAATGCTTGAATGCTTTCCACTGGACTTGGAACCTGCAAAGTTCTCCATTCTGCCTGTGAGGTCCATTTTGGATTCAATCGACTTTTCTGGTCCACCAGTCCCAGCCTGTCATCCGGTTTCTTCACCCGGTCGCAACACAGTGACAGTAAGAGTCATGATTCATGATCAACTGGTGTGGTAGGATCACTGGGTATGTCAGTCTTATTGCTGCATCATCCATCATCGAAGAGTCGTGACATTGGGGCAAGGTGGGTGACACTCACTGTTCGTAGCACATTCACGTTGTATTCAAAGCAGAACACTAGTTCACAAATGCACTGCAAGTGTGCAGTGTCAAGAACACGTTTCCACGTCATTTGTTCGGAAGGGTTGTTTCCAGGGCATGACGTTTTGCTGTTTTCCTCGGAGTTTGGCCAGTACTTGAAAGGCTACAACACTACGCATCATGATCCAAAGAGACTGGTCTGATGATGAACTTCCCATTTTGCCCTTTTTTTGTGTGATGTCTTTATTTTGATGTATAATGTATTATATAGTCGAATCTGGACCGACCGACAAGTCGCATGTGGAGCCAATCATGCGACACTCGCAGGAAATATTTTGGTTCCATCCACGACGTGGACCTGTCAGAGTTGGCGCTCTGCAATGAGACCGACCTGAGCGACCGGAACCAGATGTCGGACTATGCCAAGTATTCAGGCGACTACGATGGAGTTGTCAACCAATCAGATGGTACATTTGTCGCCAAGTGTACCAACGACCGCTGGTGGTATGCCCCTGCGTGCCGTCACAATGCCTCTACATGTATTCCTGTCTTCACGGCCGGGACTGGTTGGAAAGCACAGCCGATGATGCAATGGTCAACGGCTTATGGAATTCCAGCTGCTCTCGCAGTCTCTGGAGCATGGTCCTTGTTCTTGCAGCATGTGCGGACTTTCCGGGCTCTCCATTACTGGTGGGTTCCAGATTCCACTTTCATTGAGATGTTGCCAGAACAGTTGCTTTTTGCTCGACACAGTGCAAACGAATGGCTTGCTGGAGACAAGAAGACTGGAGGTCAAGGAAGCTATGTGTCCAAGATGGTCAGCCAAAACTTGCAATCTAAGGCCAGCCGGGTTTCTTAGAGCTTCTTTGTCGTCAAATCTAGCCAATTTCTTGTGTTTTGGTCAGCAACTTGGGCGTCTGACTAGGCCCCAAAGGTGAAGAACTTTGTGCGGATGATCAACTTCGAGTGTCCCGGCAGCGTTCTGTTCAGCTTGAGAAGCAGCAAGGGCCAAGACCGTTCAATTTTAGGAGGGCACGTGGCAAAGCAACCTCAACACACGCAATAGGTATCAAAGCTGGTTCTATACTTTTGTGATTTTGCTGCAGTATTTCGCGTGCAACTTGAGTATCGTATCGATCTTTCTGTTGAGCTCCTGTGACCATGAGAGGTAGCACCGGGTAGCATCATCCGTTTAGCTTCAACTCGGTGGTTGGCATGACGATGGTTGCTGAAGAGTGAGTCTTAGAAGCTGCATGAGAGGGATTGCAGCCATAAGTACAGTTATTAGCAAGTACATCATAATCACAATCCATGTTTTTGGACGTTGAAGCATCCCAACCTTCATCTTGCCCACAGCCTGAGCAATCCAACAGAAATGCTCAGTTCCAGACTAGAACAGGCCTAATTCTGATGCCGGTTCACTTTGTCTTTTCTGAGCCGAACAAGCTGTTCGACATGAAGCTTCAATGATTTCGACCGAGGTCTTTACTAACCATCATAATCCACTGAAACCTCTTAATGGGATAATTATACCCTAGTATGTTTAAATGTGTGATTATACCCTATTGATCCCTATTGCATCTTTCATTGAAGCTGAAGGAGGCAGTTGAGGCGATTGTAGTCAGCTTCACGTTTTGTCGGTCGGTTCTTTGCGTCTTTTTTCGGCTTCCGTTGCATCCAGGCTGCCAGAGCTTCAAGATCTGCTGCTAGAGACTCTTGGATCTCAGTCAACGCTTCGGGATCAACGGAGGGTTGACCAAAGACATTTGGGAGCAGCCAAGAGTTCGATTGAGTCAACAGCTTGTGGAGTGAGTGAAGCGAATCCAACAACGCTAGCGATCGGATCAACGTTCCCCATGCACCAAACGATGGAACCTGCACAGACCCGCAAAGGAGCCATCCCGCACGTCAAAGCGAGCAAGGCTGCGTTATAAACCTCTATATATAAATTTCCACTCCCCAGGTAGCAAACAAAAACCAAGCAAGAAAGTCGCCATCGCATGCATACTAGACAGGAACATAATCACCGCATTCAAAACAAGACAACACAAATTAATTCAGGGGCTGATCTCCTAGGGTAAACATACGGCTTATATAAGCAAAGTGCGAAAAGTGGTGGTTTTCGGTGGATTATCATGTCACATTATGCCACCTCTATGTCTGATCTTCCGAGACCGGACGCAACTGAGCAACGTCCAGGTGGCGTCAGACAGGCTCAAAGTCCGACGTGGCTTGCCGCTGGCTCAAGGAGAATCAAGACCGTTTCTGAGCAAACATCAGTGCAAAGCTTGATGAAATACTGTCTTTGCCCGCCTTGTCTGCTCGTTTGTTTCCTTGGTTGGTGTGTTCCAATTGAACATGCATGAACATTTGCAAGTTTGTCGTTTTCAAATTAACACTGGTCAAAGTAGCCGGGGATTTTGAGTCCTTGCATGTTTTAAACACCTCTTGGGGTTTTAACTTGACCACGCGGCACAGCACTGCACAGGTTGCTACAGGTTTTGATTCTAAAATTCTATTTTGGTATCCTTTTCCGACGCAGGACAGCTCGTGTGTTGCCATTCTATGAACTGAGATCGTCCTATTGCTGAATCATGTACACAATCAATTGTTTAGGTTGGGAACTATGTGAATTTGTACAATTGGTTTACCCCATTTACACAATCCACACAATCAATTAGATCAATTTTTGTCCTGAGGTTGGAAAGCCTGGATTCCCGATGACACCAATTGCCTTGAGGGCTTTGGAGTGGTGGACGAGAAGCTCGGTGAAGTGAATTAAACCTATTTCATGAGGCATGAGGCATATTGAGGCAAGGCCTTGTGCATGTGTTCTATTTTACCAAAACATGCTACCTTTTGCTTGTATATATTATATATATATATTCTCTATACTTATAAACATCTTTCATTGGAGAGAGCCTGTTTTCAAAAGTTTAAACGCAAAGTCAAAACAGTAAAAAAGTCAGTCCCAAAAGTCAAAGTCAAAAAAGGCAAATCGGAAAGTTTCAGAAAGTCAAAAAACGTCAAGTTGCACAGATCCGACATTTTCTTTACTTCCGTGTTTCTAATTTTGACATTTTTTTTGTACATTTTTATGACTGAAAGTTTCGAGAACGAACAGCATGGCAGTCAAGCAGACTAGCTTTGGAGGAAAGCACCATGTCACTTGCAACTGTTTTCCACTCTGCATTACCTGCAGATCGCTCTTGGCCCAAAAGTCCTTTGCTGCTACCTCGGACCGTCGCGCCGCCTTCGGTACTTTGATGGTAAGCGGATCCCGGTTCACTCCGGGCGACCGCTAGCGCCGCTTTCCTTCGGCGCTGCTGCCGCGCGCGCTTGCTGCTGGCCACTTTGCCCACGGAGGCAGGTGGCACCACACTCCGTTGCTGCTGAGCTTGTGAAGCCGCCTTCTATGAGCTCAACATGTCGGCCTATGCTGGAAGCATCCTCACCGACAGACATGGTGTGCCGCAGCGAGGCAGAGATGTTTGAAGAGTATGAAGAAAGGGCTTGGGATTTGTTCCATGGCCGTGAGGGTCAGGACGCACTCCAGATTGCTACACCAGTTCACCTTCGAGCCGGACGCTCTGGTGCTGCATGTGAGTCGGTTCGGAAGCTCGAGCATCCAAAGCTGAAGACGAAGACAAGTGAAGGCAAGCCTACGGATGCTGGGATGAAGTTGTTCATCCGAACGTTGAAAGACAGCATTGCTGCCGAGCTCCCGGTCAAGACCAGCGAACTGTTCTTCCAGGCTTTCTACTCCCCGAACGTTTGGCGGAAGAACAATGAGACGATGCAGCAGTACATCGTGAGGAGAGAGCAAGACTTCCGAAGGTTGGAAGAGAATGCAACTGGAACCTCCGTCCCTAAGCAGATCCGAGCGATGATGGTCCTTTGTTTTGGAGGCCTGGATCGCAAGGAACAGACAAGCATCCTGAGTTCCTGCAACAACACGTACGTATGAGTTCCAGAAGATCGCCCATGCGATGAGGATCCAATACCCAAACTCTGCCGGAAAGCCCGTGATCCGTCGGGACTACTTGGGTGCTCGCAGCTTAGGCCACCGCCAACCTCTCCAGTCTCAGCACTGTTTCCAAGCCAGTACCTCCACGTGGTGGAAACGGGCTTCTTCTTGGAAGAAGTACGGAGAGCTGGCATACAATGCTTTAATTTGTTGCACGGAGTGCTTTCTTCAGCACTTGTTTCTACCAAAGAAAAACAAAATGGTAAAATAACAAGTAACAAATCAAAAAGAACAAGTAGCTCAGGGCAATTGACCACGGAGACACTCAAAAGAGTTGTTGTTCCGTTCGCTCGTTCTTGTTTCTTGTTTTTCGTTGTCGCTCGGCACCTCCTCCTGCACCTCAAGTGACTTGGCATCAAATAAACATGGCCAGATGCTTGGCCCCTGGCTCGTTGATCAGCCTCCTAGTTTGTCGCAACGGCGTAGCGCGCAGACGGCGATGTACAATGGCACTGTCGCACTGCGACCGCCACATTTGGAAAGAAAGTTGTGCCTTGGCCTTTGGGAAGACCTGGACAATCAATATGTTTGGGATGTTCCTGTTGAACGTTTTGTTGAGCGGGCTAGTGGGCTGGGGTTGCGCCGCTGGTTCTCTCTAGCTTTTGTCGTTTGGCTGGGTCTCGTTACCGTAACCATGTTTGAATACCAACCAAGTTCTGTTTTGTTGGGAGAAGGCGATCTCACCTCCCCTAGCGTTGGTCTTCCCCTCCAAAAGAAGAAGAAATCTAAAAGAGATGGGTGCACTGGATCGGTCATCCCCCCCATCATGGTCGTCAAAACGCCTTGTCTACCCAGGTCAATGGGTTGGGGGGAAGCGAAGACGCTATGCGCGACTCCAATTCAGACAATTCAGCTCTTTTTTGCGAGCTGATCGACTCCATTTTTTGGAACCTTGGCAAAGGATACCCTAGTCGGAAGCCCAACCTTCGAATCGCACGCTCTGTTCATCAGAGATCGAAGGCTACAAGGCTTTGTGCTCACGATCGGAATTATTTTCTTCAAATCCCGAAGCGGACAAGACGATGCTTTGCACGACTGCGCCCGCGACGGTTCTCACCCCTGATGCGAGCCGATCGAATTCAATTTCCGATTCTCCACTACAGCCCGAAAACGTCTTGAAAGACCTTCTTCTGCGCACCCCCAAAGTTGACAACCCTCCTTCTGAATCCACCAGAGGACGCTCTACGGGTTCTAGCCCGCGGGTTTCGCCGCGACGTAGGGATAGAAGTCGGATCCCAAGCTCAAAGTGGATCACCAAAGCAAAGGGAAACGCGTTCCCAAAGGGAAGGGGAAGGGAACATCCTTTCCAAGCGAACCCCACTCTCCGCGCTCGGTTCGTTTCACCCAATCGACCGATCTCGATGAATCTTCTATACTCGCAGTGCTCAAAGCTCTTGTTCTTCAAACCAAGGTGCAGGGATCTCAGGGACCCCTACAAAACTTGGTTCAACTCGTTGAGCGATTTAGTTCCCAGGGAAAGGGTACGGTAAAATCCAGCTTTGCAAAAACCCGGGCATCTTTGGGTCCGCCGCCTCGTGGCAGATGCGGGCCAAGTTCGAGGAACTTGGTGCGAAGAGGGCCCGCGAAATTCGATCTTCGGATCGTGTCAGCATGATTACTGAAAGTAAAAGAATTCATTCAAGACCCCTACCAAAAGATGGAAAAGAAGATGACAAAGAATCTCGACAAGAATTCAAAAGAACTAAGAAAAATTGCAATCCAGAAAATGTCATGGCCAGGGGCGGCCAACGCTGATGATGCTGCTGCTGACGAGCTGTCTTGCCTTGCCTACTGCCCCTGCCTGCACTTTGCCTGCCAATTTGGAGATCTTCTCTCCACCAGCCGTGGCTTACCCATGGGCTGACTTCAGTGACCTTTCCCCCACAAGGACCCCCGGGCGGACCCGAACGCTGCAATGTACTCTTGCTGCGCGTCGGAATTCGAGCCGCTGTTGGAAATGATACCCACGCACCGCTGGAAACACTGCTGCCGCTGCGCGAAGCCGCCGCCGGCTTTGTCTACACGATCGGAGCATTGGAGGTCATTTCATGGATTTGGGTTTTCTGGTCATTTGATTTTCGCAACCCTCTCCTTTATTGGGCTTGGTTGTTGTTTTTGGGTGTGGTTGGGTGTCTGTTGGACCTTTCCGGCCCGACCCCTGTTCACCACGCTTGTCGCGTCGAACTTCGACTCGCTCACACTCGGAATTCCTACAGGCTACGTTGGAGACGTCGCCGGAGGAAAAAACTGAGACATTGTTTGCGTTCCAAACTCAAATCCAAGGACCAAGTGCATTGCCACGGTTGCAAGTGGCGTGTTCTTTGGCAGTGTCGTCTTGTTCAGGGACGACGCTACGGACATGCGCCGGTTAACTAATAGAAGATTTAGGTGGACCATGTTCCTAAAACGGCTTGGTCAGACTACCTCTGGCGTTTGTCCTTTTTCTCCTGTCCACTACGGTCCCTACATTCGCATTCCACTTGAGGTTCCCAGCCCAGATGTCCAAAAACCCCTGCCCCCCACGCTGAATGAGGTCATGAGTGAAGTGTGTCAGGTGGAGCTGGAGGTTCTACCCGTACACGTCGGAAACGACGCCAGCGTGACTCAAGACACGGAGGAGACTCAGCCGCTGCACAAGTTTGTGCTCAGAGCTTGCTGCAGGGACTGAAACAGCTTCTGAATCAAGGTGGTATGTCCAGTTCCCAGTTGCTCAACCTCCTTCAGCAAGCCACACAGAACTTGACCTAAAACGTCCAGACCCAAGAAGCGTCGACGGATTGTCTTGTTTTCAGACGGCCCTGCCGTTTCGCCTTCTGGTCAGGGAACTGCTCTTTGGCCGCAAGACCGCAAAGAGCCAACAGGTGTGACCCGATGGTGGCGCAACAGTGACGGTTCGTGGCGTCCTTACCAAGTTCAAAGCTCAGGTTGGTGGGAGTGGATCGATGACCCGGCTACTCCAAAACCTTCCGACGACGCTGATCATAATGACGCCGGCTCTTGTTTTGCTCTCCCAAAGGTTCGCAGTGTTCACCCCCCGAGTGGACAGAATGTCCCAAGCTCACCTCGTTCGAAACTGTCAAAAGCTCTATCCGGCAAGGCAAGGATCTCGCAGGCAACTTGGTTTGTCCCGAACATCCTGAACACGTTTTAGCACTCCAGGACTTGTACCAAGGCTTTGGAATCCAGTCGGGTTCTGAGCCTCCACACATGCCCATCGACGCGTCCTCGATCTTCCTCGTCGCTCCGGACCTTAGCCTCCCAACAGGAGGTTGACGTTCGGCCGCCGTCTGTTTTGAACCTGACGACCTACTCTTCACCATCCGTTTGCTTCTCACTGCCTAAACACGATGTTGGTGGTGCCGCGTCTCTGGCCCACTCAGAACGGACATGGAAGAAGGGTGAGTCTTTTGGAGTGATCTCAGAACGGACAAGGCAGAAGGGTGAGCTTTGTGAATTCAACTCAGAACGACCAAGGAAGAAGGGTGAGCTTCTTGCAGTGAACTCAGAACAAACAAGGAAGAAGGGTGAGCTTGTAGTTAACTCAGAACGAACAGGAAAGTTGGGTGAGCTTGTTGAACAGGCAAGAGAGCAGGGTGTATGTTCCACTGCACTGCGACAACCCAAAGCTGCGAGTCGTTTCGGGCCCAGTGAATCAGGCACTGTCAAAAGTGGGCCCACAACGGGGGGTGCAGAAGAAGCTGAGCGTTTTTCTACATCCATGTCCAGTACGGCT